ACATATCATCAAGGCAACAATGGCATATCATCAAGGACAACAATTAATTATCAACAAGACATCAATTAATGACTTATCAACAGCAACAATAACAACAAATAATTTATTTGAGTCTCACCTCTTTAAAACATTTGATATAAAACACAATATAATATTAACAGATCAATTTATAAAAGAGCCCCGCTCTAGAAAGAGTTATGAGATAAAATTGAGAATGGAAATGGAACATGTGTCAAAGAGACAACAACTCGATCAAAGAGCAGACAACAGCCGAAGGCCACCAATGGGTTTTCAATGCAGCGAGAAACTCCCGCACCCGGAGGCGTGCTTCAGCTGGCCCCTTAACAAAAATGTATACTAGTTCAGTGATAATGGACGTCATACTAAACTCCGAAATATACACAAGAAACTAAATTAAAAATCATACAAGACTAACAAAGGCCAGAGGCTCCTGACTTGGGACAGGCGCAAAAATGCAGCGGGATTAAACATATTTTTTTGAGATCTCAACCCTCCCCCTATACCTCTAGCCAACGTACAAAAAACAAACACACAACAATACGCACAGTAAAACTCAGTTCAAAAGAAGTCCGAGTCCGATGTCAGAGAAGGTAACAAAAGAACTAAACAAAATGACAATGATACATAAATTAACAAAGGACTACTAGCAGTTACTGACATGCCAGCTGCAGACCCCAACTAAACTGATTGAAAGATTATGTCTTCATCATATGAATATCAAGTACACTCCCTCCCGTTAGGGGTTTAGTATTATACCATCATAAAATATATGAGAAGAACATAACCCGTATCATGCCAACAACTGGTTTTAGAATAAATGTGTTTATTTCCGATGCAAAGACCCTATAAGTGAATCAATATTAAAGCCAAAATATGCAATCTTTAATGACCTGGCAACAGTAACGTAACTATATCCCTTCTTAATAAGTCTGTTAAAAGGTTATTTTAGCTTTTGAGGTGAATGCCGACATTTTTGTGCTTTGTAAAGAATATTACCATAAAAAATTAGATGTGAAATACCTGAACGTATAAGATGTCTGCATGTTGAATTATATTTACGAATGATGTCCTTGTACCGATGATAAAATTTAGTAAATGTTTTGACTAGTTTGTGATATCGAAAACCCTGGTGCAATAATTTTTCAGTAATACACAAATTTCTCTCGCTAAAATCTAATACGTTGTTACATACACGAGCGAATCTTACAAGTTGAGATATATAAACATCATAAGATGGTGACAAGGGAACGTCATCATCTAAAAATGGATAAATAACGATAGGAAATGAAAAATCATCTTTTGTATCATAAATTTTGGTATTGAGTTTCCCGTTAACTGTAAAACACACATTAAAAAAACATTTATATTACATATATAACATATATCAATATATCTTAGTATAAAACATCATAATATTAAAAAAAAAATTATACAAATTAACAATAAAACATTCTATACACTTATTACGAGTATAAAATACACTTTCTTTTAAAAAGTACTTCATCAACAAGACAACAATGACATATCAACAAGGCAACAATGACACATAAAATGACTTATCAACAAGACAACAATGACATATCATCAAGGCAACAATGACACATAAAATGACTTATCAACAAGGACAACAATGACTTATCTACAAGACAGCAATGACATATTAACCAAACAACAATGACATATCAACAAAACAACAAAGACAACAATAACTAATCAACAAGACAACAAGGAAACAATGACATATCAACAAGACAGCAATTACTAATAACAAGACAACAATGATATATCAACAAGACAGCAATTACTAATAACAAGACAACAATGACATATCAACAAGACAGCAATTACTATAACAAGACAACAATGACATATCAACAAGACAAAAATTTCTTATTAACAAGACAACAATGACATATCAACAAGACAAAAATTTCTTATTAACAAGACAACAATGACTTATCAACAAGACAACAAGGCAACAATGACATATCAAGAAGACAAAAATTTCTTATTAACAAGAAAGCAATGACATTTCAGCAAGACATCAATGACTTATCAACAAGACAACAAGGCAACAATGACATATCAACAAGATAACAATGACATTTCAGCAAGACAACAATGACTTATCAACAAGACAACAAGGCAACAATGACATGTCAACAAGATAACAATGACATTTCAGCAAGACAACAATGACTTATCAACAAGACAACAAGGCAACAATGACATGTCAACAAGATAACAATGACATTTCAGCAAGACAACAATGACATATCAACAAGACAACAAGGCAACAATGACATATCAACAAGATAACAATGACATATCAGCAAGACAACAATGCAACAATGACATTTCAACAAGACAACAATGCAACAATGACATTTCAACAAGACAACAAGACAACAACGACATTATCAACAAGACAACAATGACATTATCAACAAAACAACAATGACATTATCAACAAGACAACAATAACTTATCAACAAGACAACAAGACAACAATGACATATCAACAGAAGGTCCGATGAGATATTTGTTTCCAGGTAAAGACATTCCTAATGTTGGATTGTAGTTCATGTAGCTCTAAACCTCGTCGTTTATTATCTCAAGTTCTTACAAAATACAGAAAAGACATAGTATTCGTCAACAAATATCTTGAACTACAGCAATGGTTGTGACATAGGTACCTCTGATGCCTTAACCCAAGTATGACCCATAAAAACAAACAAGTTTTTTTTACAATGGGGTCCTTATAGTCTTGGTTTAAAAAAAAAAGAATCATTCAATATTACAGCAATAAATAGTATGCATGAATCACAGCTTAAAACATTCGTATAAAAAGCAATTTAATGAAATACAAAATCTGCATCTGACATTGACCTGAGTTTACTCATTAGGTGTTTTTTTTAACTTCATACTTAAATTTTATTTTTGAATTCACATGAATACCTTTTACAATATCTGGCAAAGCATTCCAGTTTTAATACAAATAAAACAGAAAGAAGAAGATTCTACACCTTTGACATAAAAATTGTAAGCAGTTGTTCTAGTAACTATTCGAGGAAGTTCTTGAAAAAAAACATTTTTAAGTATTCTGGACATTTGTTGTGAAAAATATTAAATACATGATTCAGACGATATGTTCCCGGCATTCAAATGCATTCATCGTCCAACAAATAAAAAGGTTTTAATAACACTTTTGCAAAATTTTGCTATTCCAGTAAGTGTAAATAAATCTGATGAATTCATCAGTTCTTTTAATTTTAAAACATTTGGGCTATTACATATATTTAAAGGTAAAAATTTAGCTCTTACATTGTTGAAAAAGGTACATTTGAATAAGTAATGAAACTCGTCACCAACGTGAAACGAGGACTATAAAATTCATGAAAACCAAACAAAACTTTAATAATTATCTATAGTGTATGGTGCAATAAAATATTATAAGATAAATAAAAAAATATTGTACACACGATGCATAGAAATCTAGCTATCGACAGCATTTGTTCTATGAATGTTGAATACTGAAATGTATATATCTGCAAATTATATCTGCAAATTTTGCAAAAGTGATGCAGACGCAAAAGAATCAAGTGTTATGTTCAGTTCATGTCTGCAGTGGCAGCACCTTTCTGGGGCCAGACTAAAAAAAAATCACCAAAAAGCAAGGCACTGGTTTTGCAACGCTTGTAAAGCAGGTACGGGTTGTTGGGTGTTACTTTTTGTTTCAAAACTAATAGGATATTTTTTTTAAAGTTTTAATCAGAATGTCGATTTTGTATATGGGTTCGTATGTTTTGCTTATGTGTATTATATATTTTTTTTAAAGAATTTTTTTTATAACTCCTATTAAAGAAAAAAAGTACTAGTATCATTTTAATATTTTACTTTTTAAAATTTTTTTAAAAAGACATGTTTTTAGAGACTGTAAAGAATATCAATTTTAATATGCACGTTATGTATAAATGTTTAAAGAAGACTATATAGTTGTATAGAGAGTTCTTATTGAAGTGTATGTTTCTATATTTTTTCTATTATTAATTTCTCTACTTCTATTTTAATCTTAATTAAGACCGGCAAAATAGCAAAACTCTATGTAAATCGCTATTTTGCCGGAGCCGGCAAAATAGCCACTGCCTTATTTAATAGTGTCCCAATTACAAATATTGTTTCATTCTTGAAGGAAGTTGGAATATATTATAAAATATAAAAATGTTGTATAAATTCAAAATGATTTTAATTTTTATCACGTTATATATCTTAGTATTTGAATTTTATTTGTAAATAAAGAATTTGCTTTAGACTTGAATTATAGTTTATTGAAGGACCTTTTGTCTCATTTTAAAACTACTGTCCTGTCTGTAAAAATGGGGAAATTGAGGATGAACAACATTTCTTATTACAATGTAATAGATTTACCTCAAAACGAGAAATATTAGAAAATAAAATAAATGTTATATTTAAAATACAGCGTAACATTACCACTGATGATAAAATATCTCTATTGGTTAACAATAGCTCAGCATTATTACTAAGACTGTCCTCCTCTTTCATATCAGAGTGTCTAAATATAAGAAATAGCGAACTAATATGAATCACCAATATGTAACTTTTCATTCTATAATGATATGTTATCATGTAACTTTTCATTCTACCATGTCAATTAATATAATTATATGTATGCAATAGGTCTTAACCATTTATTGTTAATGAGTTTGTGCCAATAAAATATTTGTATTTGTATTTGTATTTGTAAATCGTAAAAACATTTGAATAAGCTCTCGCCGCAATATAGCCTTTTTGTGCTCATGCGGCGTAAAGCAAACACCAATCAATCAATCAATCAATCAATCAATCAATCAATCAACCAAAATAAAATGTTCTTAGTCTTACATCAGCACGGTTTAATCACGGAACGCCGACACGAGTTTTCCAATATCATTTTATTGGTTACAATATTTGTTCTAGATATTAACCCTTATGTAAAAATAATACCCTTGGTTTTTTTTACTGTGTGAGTATGTACACGTCTCTTATATATAACCTTAAACTGAGTTAACTAACAATTTAATAATCAATTTTTAGTTTACCAGACCCAAAGGTCCAAGTGAGCTTTTGTTATCACTTGGCGTCCGTCGTCCGTTAATTTTATAAAAATCTTATCATCTGAAAATACTGCCTTACTGGGCCAACCAAACTTGGCAACAATCATCGCAACTTCCGATGCAAGGTTGTCGGCTCTCCGATTTAACTACAAAACACATACGACCATACATATACATAACATCCCGCCCCTGAAAAAGAAAATTTCCCAAATTTTATTAAAATTGTGGATGTGTTTATTTCCATATACAATTCAAGTAAAGAGAAAATGCAATATAAATTCAAACTACATAATCACTTCCGTGTTAAAAAAATCTGTTTCAAAATAATCTTTGTAAATACACATCTGTAATAACTGAAATATTGGTTGCTGACCAGTTCTCACATCTAGTATCCATTTGCATATACACCAGTATCAACTATGCAGAAAATCCGAATGTCTGGCATCTCAGTCTCCCCCTTAGGACCTTATGCACGCATTACGTTCATTCATCTACAAGAACTTAAAAAAAATATGCATTTGATGCATTTACTCAATCAACTAAATGGAAAATACTAGAAATTTGTCATAAATGTAGCTGTATACAACAAAATGATAGATATTCATCAGAGACCTTTAACTCTTAAAAATGGTAAATATTACATCAATATATATACCGAAACACTTCATAAGTTACATGTGCATGTGTCAGTAAAAGAAAATATGACTATTTCTCCCTCTCTCAATCTCTCATACTACACACTCACAAAATAAAATAAAGATGAAACATATGAAAAGCTCCAGAAATGAAAATATCAACCTAGGTTTTATTTATGACTATTATCCCATAGCTACTGACAATCCGCTGTCCAATCAGGCCAACTGTTTTCAGAAATTTTGGTGTATAAACAATACATATACACACACCAGAAAATTTATAAAAATGCCTCAGAAAAGTTTTATAAAAAAATTAAGTTGTAATTCAGAGTCCGTTTTTTCCTTGTAACTGTGTAGCGTACGACGAGATAAATCTCACATTTACCATTTCTGTAGTAGAATTTCTTAATCGTCCAAAACTGTTATACATTTTCCCTGCTATGAACATTGCAAATATAATACATAGGTCAAGCCAATTAGTTCCTAAAGATAGTAAGTCTAATTACAAAGCATCAATTACGAAGTAAGATGATAGGACGGGACGTCACATTAACACAGGTTACAGTTATCAGCACACATAAACACACACAGCTGTTTTCTTGATGTCTTACTCAAATGTGGTTAAAAGTTTGTTAGTGTAGAAATTTCGATCGAGTTCAAATGAAAAATTAAAGATCAGATGACAATAAACAATTACGAAAAACTTTTGATATTAATAAACATGTAGTTTAAAAACAGTTCTTTGAATTTTACAGTTTTGTTTTGTTGACGAAAAACTCCCAGTTTTCTTTGGTTGAGGAAAACCTCGTGGTCTAGACTATTAGAAAGTTGATTCTTCATCTTTGGGACAGCTCACATAAAATATACTTAAAGGGATCGTTTTGAAGTCCTCCACCATATTACGTACATGGGGGGACATATACTTGCCTCCCCATGCTGCTAAATTTATAATTGCTTAAGAGCAACAAAAACACATCTATTGCCATAGCACGTTTATTCCAAAGAGACAGATAACATCACATGACAAATATGCATCATACAAAGGGACATAACTCTCACGACTTAACTACAAAACACATTCGACCATACATATACATAACAATTGTTGTAGAAAATGCAACAGTATTGATACGTAATACGACTTTGATTAAACTGGCGCTTTAGTTCTGATTGCATCATAATAATTTAATGTATGTAGATTGTTTCCATAACTTAATGTCACATTTTTGTCCATTTTATAAAAATCACAACAATGAATGCTCTATCTGTAAAGTCAGGTAATAGACATGTAATTTTACATTAAACAAATATTAATAGTTGTTCTTTTTCTTCCAGAATAAATGACAATACAGATTTCAACACGTATCTACTTACAATATGGACATCTCATTTCACCATACTTGAGGATGGTTATTGGATCAAGACAGAAAGTATCCCGTAATACAGCAGGCACTTGTTTGTCAAAGTTCTCAACAAGAACATTATCACAGAAGTTCTCTAGGTCAACACAAACATTGTCACAGAAGTCATATAGCTGTTATTTTCTGACACATAAACTAGTACAGAAGCAAACATTACTATCAATAAATCTACCAGCAACTGTAAGACAATCTCTACAATGTTTATCCACAGAACCAAATTTTGAGCAATTTATTATACAAAGTGAGAGTGATTTTGATAAGAAAGTTTTAGAGAGTCCAATACCAGTTGTAGTTTATTTCTTTACAAGGTGAGATATTTTGTCAGGGAAAATACAATAAATATAAATGTAATGAAAAAAGATAATAACTCTTGAGGCGATAATAACTTTCCAAGAAATATAACTTGCAGGAACCTATGTGTTTGAATTTGTGAGAAAAATCTGATAGAAATGTTTCTATAGTATTTTAAAAAATCAATATATAATAAAGAAAATAATTAATTAATGAATAAGAAGATTTAGAAAAAAAAGCCAAATGTCAATTGATATAAAACAAAAGTAATTGTACCATCTAATCATAACAATATCATATAGGTACAAAGTACAAAGGAAAAGTCACAAGTCTACAATCTTACCAGTACATTGTCATACAAGTACAATGTAATCAATATAATGTCATAATGTCATTCAAGTACAGTGTAATCAGTATAAAGTCATACCAGTACAATGTAATCAGTATTAAGTTTTGCAGGTAAAATGCAATCAGTATAATGTCACACAAGTACAATGTAACCAGTTCAATGTCATACAAGTACAATGTAACCAGTTCCATGTCATACAAGTACAATGTAATCAGTATAATGTTATACAGGTACAAAGAAGTCATTGCAATGTCACACAAGTACAATGTAATTAGTATAATGTCATACAGGTACAATGTAATCAGTGTGTCATACAGGTACAATGTAATCAGTGTGTCATACAGGTACAATGTAATCAGTGTGTCATACAGGTACAATGTAATCAGTGTGTCATACAGGTACAATGAAAGTAGTATAATGTTGTACAAGTACAATGTAATCAGTATAATGTCACACAACTACAATGTTATCAGTATAGTGTCATTCAGGTATAATGTAATCATTAGAATGTCACATACAGGTAGCTACAAAGAAAGCAGTATAATTGGCAAACAAGTACAAACTAACAGTTGATTTACAAGAACAGGGATCTGCTTACTCTTCTGGGACACCTGAGATTACTACAAGTTTTTGGTGGTGTTTGTGTTGCTCAGTTATTAGTTTTCTATGTAAAAAGAAAATTAAAAAAAATACCGAACTCCAAGGAAAACTCAATACGGAAAAGTCATTTATCAAATGACAAAATCAAAAGCTCAAACACATTAAATGAAAGGAAAACAACTGTGTAGTGTTGTGTAAAATTTTGTATGTCTCTAGATCTCTATAGGCTTTTGTTTCATGCCATGGTGATGTTGGTTTTTGTTTCATGCCATGGTGATGTTGGTTTTTGTTTCATGCCATGGTGATGTTGGCTTTTGTTTCATGCCATGGTGATGTTGGCTTTTGTTTCATGCCATGGTGATGTTGGCTTTTGTTTCATGCCATGGTGATGTTGGTTTTTGTTTCATGCCATGGTGATGTTGGTTTTTGTTTCATGCCATGGTGATGTTGGTTTTTGTTTCATGCCATGGTGATGTTGGTTTTTGTTTCATGCCATGGTGATGTTGGTTTTTGTTTCATGCCATGGTGATGTTGGTTTTTGTTTCATGCCATGGTGATGTTGGTTTTTGTTTCATGCCATGGTGATGTTGGCTTTTGTTTCATTCATGAATGTCCCTTTAGTAACTTTTGCCTTTCTCTTTCAAAATTATCTGTGCAATATTTGTATGTGTGTAACAGTGTACATGTACAAAGTAATCTATCCAATTATTATGTAAGAACAGAGAAATAAATACAATTGTAAGAGTACAAAGTAATTAGTACAATTGTTATACCTGCATGTCCTATTTCAATAAATTCAACATAAGTACGTTATATTTGTTATTTTTAGAACTTGTGTTCCATGTGCAGTAATGGCACCAAGGCTTGAAGACATTATAGTTTCCTATGGAACAGCCATAAATTATTTTAAAGTTGATGTAGACAGCCACAGAACTTTGGCTAAGACATATGTACAGGGTAAATCCGGGGTATGTATGACTTCTTCGTGTAGGTGTAAACAGCCATCCAAGTTTGACTAAGACATATGTACAGGGTTAATCTGGGGTATATATGACTTCTTCGTGTAGGTGTAAACAGCCATCCAAGTTTGACTAAGACATATGTACAGGGTTAATCTGGGGTATATATGACTTCTTTGTCTAGATGTAAACAGCTGTCCAAGTTTGACTAAGACATATGTACAGGGTTAATCTGGGGTATATATGACTTCTTTGTCTAGATGTAAACAGCCGTCCAAGTTTGACTAAGACATATGTACAGGGTTAATCTGGGGTATATATGACTTCTTTGTCTAGATGTAAACAGCCATCCAAGTTTGACTAAGACATATGTACAAGGTTAATCTGGGGTATATATGACTTCTTTGTCTAGATGTAAACAGCCGTCCAAGATTGACTAAGACATATGTACAGGGTAAATCAGGGGTATGTATTACTTCTTTGTCTAGATGTAAACAGCCGTCCAAGTTTGACTAAGACATATGTACAGAGTAAATCAGGGGTATATATGTGACTTCTTTGTTTAGATTTAAACAACAGTCCCAAGTTTGACTAAGACATATGTACAGGGTAAATCTGGGGTATATATGTGACTTCTTTGTGTAGGTGTAAAAAGCCATCCTAGTATAGCCAAGACATATGTACAGGGTAAATCTGGGGTATATATGTGACTTCTTTGTGTAGGTGTAAACAGCCATCCAATTTTGACGTAAGACATATGTACAGGGTAAATCTGGGGTATATATGACTTCTTTGTGGGGCAGGCTTGACATAAAATGAAAAATTGAAAAGGTAAATAAAATAAATTCATGTGAAATATCCCCAGGTTAATGACTTGTAAAATTGCGAACTCATTCACAGTTGATGTGCAAGTTTTAAAACCCAAGCAAAGAGATAAGGCATTGAAATCAATAAAAATCACCAAAAATATCCACATTTAGTTATAAATCTTATTTAAAATTTCAGGTCAAGGTTATGCCAACCCTAATTGGAATGAAGAATGGACAAGTTGTTAGTAAGATTCGAGGACTAAAAAGTGAGGAACAAATAAAAAAATTTGTAGACAATTTAGTGATATGAAAAAGCACTTTAAATCTCTGTTGCCAATATATGTTTATAGTTTTGTGTAAAATAAACTTGTTATTTTTATAAGTAGACAATTCATGAATGTTTTTATGCCCCAGTTATGGGCATTATGTTTTTCAGTCTGTGCATCCGTTCGTCTGTCTGTCCCGCTTCAGGTTAAAAGTTTTTGGTCAGACAAGGTAGTTTTGGATGAAGTTGAAGTTCACCTTTCAATAATCTTATGCATTTTTTATTTGTTTTTCTTTTATTGTTTTGTACATAAATCAGGCCCTCAGTTTTCTCGTCTGAATTATTTTAAATTTCTCATTTTGGGGTCTTTAACAGCTTACTTTGCTGTATGGGTTTTTCTCATTGAAGTCCATACAATGACCTGCAGCAGTTAACTTCATTTAGTGTCTTGTGGAGAGTTGTCTCATTGGCAATCATACATCTTCTTACTTTTATATTGGTAATGTTTTCAAAAGCATATAAAAAGATGTTGTAGTTGGTTAACAAAATTCAAAACCATACAAACTCAACCGATAATGTTATATTATTTTCACTTGATGTGAAATAACCCAGAGTTCTATAGATTGTGAAATGGTGAATTGACTCCTTTCATAATATCTAAATTGGTCTAGACATTGGACTTGTGTGTTATCATGTATGTCCTCCTCTGTAGACTAGTGAACTCTAGATATATTAATAGATATGTACAGATGTAGGTATATGTCAATCAGTAACCCAACATAAAAAACAACCAGACATTTCAATGATTTAAATTTTTGGTGCATCCAAGTTTTAAAAAAAAACTAGAAATAATGTTTGTTGAGTTTCTTATGGGAAAATATCTGAAGAAATACATATTGAACTTACTGAAATCAAAATCCAGACACAATAACTAAAATGAGTATAACGTCAACAGCCAATCAATGATCTGACCAAAGACCTACCTATGAATGTAACAACCAAAACAAGTCAATAAGGTCATTTTGTACCCAATTATTGCAAAAGACGCAAATCAAATCCTGATAAAAATCTTAACTTCATCATGTCTTATCCTGCCACATTCTGTATGTGCCTGTACCAACTCAGACTCCCAAGTCATGAGCCTGTAATTGAGTGGCTGGTGTTGGTTGCTGTCTATCATATTTGTTTATTGTTTGAACATAAATCAGGCCTTTGAATTTCTCTTTTCCATTGTATTACATTTTGTCATGCTGGGACTTAACTAGATGTTAACTATATAATATGGATGTACTCATTGTTTAGGGCCTTGCTGTGACCCATAGTTGCTTATATCTACATCATTTGGTAAATGTTAAATAGTTGTCGTATTAGAAATAATATCACGTCTTCTCTTTTTTATATTCAGTACCTTCTAACAACTCACTCAATTTGGTCAAGAAGCCCACATGTCAGAAATAAACCTTTATCAAAAATTGAAGAAAAGAAGAATGGAAAATAAACAAGACAAATTACTACATGCTTTTCGTCAAAACATCTCCACTTTTAAGTGTCACAGTACCAAATTATTAAATAGTATCAATAAAATAAAATTCAACTTTTGAAATATTTATTTAATATAAAATTTGAAGTATTTAAATAATATAGCAGTAACAAATACATCTATATAAAGGAAACCATGATTTCTAATGAACACAAATATTTAAATTAGGGGGCATATTTCATTTAATAACAACATCTAGCAAATCAATAGTTTGATCAAGGGAGATAATTATTCATATTTGTAACTTCAAATAAACACAACTTAAATTATTCTAATCTATTACCACATCTCCAGTGAACAACAGTCAAAACAATATTGGAATATAAGGGAGGTAATAAATTTAGAAATTCGAAAATGTCAAATAGGAAAAAGGAACAATAGAGATTTTGTAACAGCTCTAGAATTTTTTTATTAAATAATTTTATATCTAAATAAAAGCTTAGAAAATAGTTTCCCTGCATCTTTCTTAATATGTATAGTACCACTACATCACAAAATTATTCTCCTTTTAATATTTATTACTAATCAGGAATTATTATGCTCTTACTGTGGTAAGGTTAAATATAAATGTTGTATATGACATTTAAAAAGATAAGATTCATAAAATATAAATTAGTTATATTAAAGTTAAGTTCAGCATTCCTAAATTAAAGAAAAAAATCAATGTAAATACAAAACATTGTAAAAAGATAATGTTGATAAGAAAGTGTAAGTTGAAGCATAATTACCACTACAACATATCTACTAGAGGATTAATACACATAAATTAAGCACTTTTAACACACAAATTAACAAAAAACTTTTATAACATGCACAAAAACTCATCTTTAACAACATTATTGGCATAGATTTTCATCTCATTTCACTCCCAAAGTTTTAACCTGTTATTTCACAGGAAAATGCAGGCAGTAGCAGACGTCCAAATGACCAAGGGGGAGAACAAATCAGAAGGGTGCAGCATGTTAAAGGGAAAAATTGTTTAGGACACTTCACCTTTGATTTTACTGCCAAAATAATTATTTCACAAATAAATCCATTTGAAAACTTATTGATCAAATTTTCAATACTTTGAACTATGAGATTGGAATCAATGGTTCAAGTATATAACATTTTAATGAATGAACTACAAAGATCAAAACAAATTGCAAGAACTTTTCTTATTCATGTAAAAATGAGAAAGACAAAATTTTGAGTCAAAGGTTCAACATGTAAACATTGCAACACTTTACACCATTTAGAAACTATTCTGTCATCACATACACTAAGCACTAGAATATACTTTATTATTTTATTTGAGAAACATTATGCATTTGTTTTTAAAATTTCTCTTCCTAAGCATGGAACTTAATTTGTTTATATCTATGAAAAAAGTATACCACATAAAAACATACTGACTAGTACTGTTAATAAAATGTCATCAAACTATGTCAATGGGAGATAACTCTTGCAGTACAATTAGTTTATAAAGGATGATGAGACTACAGGAACAATCTTGATACAAGAAAACCATTTGGTTATATTATGCACATTTGCATATAAAGGTTCTTGTTGATGTTGTATAATGATACAAATAAACCCCGTTCCCTCCTGCCGTAATTTTACAATCCATAAAAAGTTATGAAAGGAAAACCATCAAATTTCTAAGAATAAAACCATAGAATCTAATACACATAAAATTGAAAAGTGTTCAAACAGATTATATTTATACATGTTTTTTCCCCCACAAAAATCAAGTAAAGAAATGCTGCCAAAAACTGTAAATTACAAATGCTGGTGTAGAATGAGAGGACGACTATAAAGTAGAAATGTCACGGTCTGTTGATCAGTATCCTCCCTGAGCTACCAGAGCCATCAGTACCTTCTTATAGTCACCTGATGTGTCCTCCTATAATACAAATATCATGTGATTATCATGTGACATTAACAAACTGATGTAGTCACCTGATGTGTCCTATAATACAAATATCATGTGATTATCATGTGACATTAACAAACTGATATGTAGTCACCTGATGTGTCCTATAATACAAATATCATGTGACATTAACAAATTGATCAACTCTATTATATTATTTATTTGATCACTGACAATGACAATGATTGAGGAAAATAATTCTTGCCAGTTTATTTAAAACATGGAATAAAATGGCTTCAATTATAATTGGTTATTAGACATTTAGAAATAAGAATAATTTGTTTCTAGAAAACCAAATCATGTGATACGATCTGAATCATCAATTGGTCCAATATATTTATTACACTCTGACAGATTTTATGATGTTTTAGTTTAGGCCAGCGCCTGTTTCTAATGAACTTGTGTTGTAAGATTACTGTCTTATATAATGTACTCAATAAAACTCCTCTTATTCATATGTTAAAACACAGTTATTGAAATTCAGAAATCAGTAACAAGAACATTTTAATTATCAATTCTAATGGAACATTGTTTAGTATGTTCAGTTTGAAAAAGGCAACGAATTTCAACGCATCAATAATAAGATTGATTGTGTGAATTGTGCACCCAGTACGGAAATCATGTGACTGATCTTAGAATGTATGAGTTAGCAGTGTTTTCTTGTAGTTGCGTTGGAACATAATGGAATGGAGATAACAGTATTGTACTTGAAGATTTGTGGGTATCAATCTTTTATTTGATGGTCTCAAATATCTGTTTACTGGCTCCACTAGCACATTGCCAGTAATCTAAATTTAGGACTATTTAATCGTCAATGGATGCCTGCAAATCTTTAAATACCAGTACAATACTTTAAATATCTTTTGAAACTGGTCTCATCTGATCCCAGAGAGTTCTTAAATTGCAGGAAATACATGCAAAATTTATCTGACAATCAACTGACTATAAATGAAAAACTTCTTTGTAACAAACACTTAAAGAACCTTTCTATCAGAAGTAATTTAGAATTTAAAATTCATAGTACAAAATGTATAACAAATGTAAAATTCAATTTCAAAAGATTTAAACAACAAACTTAAAACATGAGACCAGTTCCATTATAAGATTTTTTGGACAAATTTGTTAGTATAGAACATAAACATAAACAAATGCACTTCCCCACAATTCTAAAAGTATAATACTGTGTTGGATTATTTCACCAAGACTGAAAGATTCAACTCCCTCAGGTCAAGTTCACGTTACTCTGTTATATTTTGGTTTGAAGTATGGTTCCTTAATAGCTATAAGCATTTGGTTTTAAAATTAAATCATAAATGTACCTGATTATAATAATTCAGTAAAATACTTTTTTTTAAATCCTATATTATAAATCTAATAGTTGTGATAGAGGTAATATAGTAAAGGTATGTACTTATAAATAAAATAAATAAAATGTAATATATATATTTCTCTAATTCTTCGTCAATTTATCCCTTTCTGCACCCATTGTATAAAAAAAATTTAATCAACGTGTGGTTCGTTTGATCTCAGTTCTTCATTGGTTAAAATCCTATTATGACGTCGAATTTTCTTGCTTTCCTCTGAGTTTCCTATTGTGACGGCATGAAAAAAGGCGACCATGCCTGATGACGTCACATAGAAAGAACACATCTTTTTGCAGATCATTCGAAAAGAAGGAATAAATTTGCCTGCGTATTGTTTGAAAATCATTAGAGAAACAGATTCCACCACCAAATCTCGTGTAATACCATATTTATCCACTCTCCACAGTTAAATTTTAAATATTTAAAACGCTCGGCGAGCCTCGCGTTTTAAATTTGAAAATTGAACTGTCTCGAGTGGATAAATATCGTATCACACTCGATGCAGTGGTAGAATCTATATATATAGATAGAATAACTCCACAATGATTATACATGAACTCTACTATAATTGTTACTTTTTAAGATGAACTAACTACATTCAGTTATGTGTATATGTAACCTTTAAACAAAGAACTCAATGTGATAAAAAATTTCGATTTTTTTTTTATAATGAAATTGGCAAGTATCCATAAAATAGCATAAAAAATACCAACCAACCCTTTTAACAGGAAGTGAAGTTACCCACAAAATGTAATGAATGCCTAACAGTGTTATAGTGCAATGTAATAATAGGAGAAATATCCTCGTGAAATAATCCACAAGTTGTACTAAATATTGTAATACATTAATCCAAATATTGTGAACAAAATATGAGCAATATTATAATGCAACCGCTCAAATAAACACAAGAATGAAATGCAATTATCCAAAAATGAACAATTTTGTAAATGCCATGATTCAAAATAAACAAGATTGAAATGCAATGATACAAATAAACTTTTAAAATGCATGATCCAAATACACTTTTAAAATGCATGATCCAAATAAACTTTTAAAATGCATGATCCAAAAAAACTATTTTGAAATGCAGTTATCCAAATATGAATACAATCTGATTAGAATACAGATTGTGTGTCCAGACTCTACTTACAAGGATCTGACAAGGCTTTGTTCAACTTTCTGTTTTGAAAAATATTAAATAAGCCAATAAATTTCCGATTTCAAATTTTGAAAGTTGTGTATCATTACAAAAAAACTAGGGGATCCAAAAATTATTTTAAAACAGAAAGTAGAATGGAGAGTTGTCAGATTCTTGTAAGAGGAGAAAGGACAGAGGATATGTATTTTTTAATCAGATTGATATGAACAATATTGTAAACAAATCAATATGTAAAGCATTTAACTGAAGGCAGCAACATTACAATTAAAACAAACAGATATACTGATAAGCTTCATATCATAAAATTAATTTCTTATTTTATTCACTCTTTGAATTGTGGGGATTTATAGAACAAAGACAACTAATCTATAAGTAAAATCATTTACTCCCTATTTAGATGCTCCTATCAGGGAACATAGAATAATTTTATAACATCCGGATGTATCACCCTGAAATAAAGGGAGATAACAGTTATGTAAAGTCTAGATAAGATGTTCAAGTATAGACCAAATAGGAGATGACAATGATGTACAGTCCAGATAACAATGACTCTAGTGAAGACTTTTAAGCATAGAACAATTTTATAATTACAATAATTATCACATATTTGTTACAAAAACAATGGGTTTGGCGTATGTAATAATCACTGATTTGCCTACGTCATATTGCTGTCCAGGTTAAATTACCAGGGACAATATGGGCTTCCCATACAATCACATGGGACATTATCAGCCCTCATGGCAAAATCCGTATCGCCCAAAATATGGACAATCCATGCAAGTAAATAGCTGTTCTCATGAGGGAAACCCCCCATAAATATGTTAAAACAATACAGATCAATTCATATAAACTGTTTTAAAGATTTACATTCCATTCTCAATTATTCAGTCTAAAGTTTTATTGTCACCCTTATCTTATTGGAACCATTGCATGAACTACAACTCACCCTAATAAATGTATCTAAAGATTTGCCATAGAGTCTTTGGAACTCTTGTTTGATTTGCACCATGTCAACTTCAGCTCGAGTAACAACAATACGAATCAACGTACGATCGTCTGTTCCAAGTCCCTGTAACATATAAAACATCTTATTAATATTCAATGTCAACTTTTTTTGTATGCATTTAAAAAGAAATGAAAGCCACTTTGTGCAGATATAAGGGGCAATACTGATAGAGCATAATACATACATAGGATAACAGTGATATAAGGGGCAATACTGATAGAGCATAATACATACATAGGATAACAATGATATAAGGGGCAATACTGATAGAGCATAATACATACATAGGATAACAATGATATAAGGGGCAATACTGATAGAGCATAATACATACATAGGGTAATAAAATGCTTCGCTGGGGCGCAGCTTGATACGACCGCAGAGGTCGAACCCTGAACAGTTGGGGCAAGTATGGACACAAAATTCAAGCTTGATACAGGTATGACTTTGGATTGTCATTAAATATTTGACACAGCATAGGTTTCTGACACAGGATGAATGTGGTGTAAGAACTGGAAAAAATTTAATTTACCTATTATGGTGGAATATCCATAAACTAAATAGTTTGTTAATTTCAATATATCAAAGAATATGTAGAATTCAATGTTTGATGTAATGTAATAAAGTTGAAATTTGGACCGTTTTTGTTCAATGTGGACCAATTTGGTAACATGTATAAATAATCAAAAATCTAAATACATGGGAGCCCATTTAAATACATCATAAAGGTATTAAAATAGAAAGTGACATCATAGTCATGGCTAAAAATAAACAAAAATCCTTAATCAGCAACATTTAAAGTAATATCTAAAAATAAAATTCCTTTGTAACCATAAAAGCCCATTTAAATACATCATAAAGATATTAAAATAGAAAATGACATCATAGTCATGGCTAAACATAGCAAAAAACCCTTAATCAGCATCATTTAACAGTAATATCTAAAAATGGAAATTACATCATAAAGGTATTAAAATAGAAAATGACATCATAGTCATGGCTAAAAATAAACAAAATCCTTAATCAGCATCAGCAACATTTTATAGTAATATCTAAAAATAAAATTCCTTTGTAACCATAAAAGCCCATTTAAATACATCATAACAGATATTAAAATAGAAAATGACATCATAGTCATGGCTAAACATAGCAAAAACCTTAATCAGCATTATTTAACAGTAATATCTAAAAATAAAAATTTCTTTGCAACCATAAAAGTAAAATAGAAAATGACATCATAATCATAGCTAAAAATAAACAAAAATTTTTTTTATTGGCAAGTTTTAAATGGAGTTTATTATACTAAAATAATAAATTTGCAACCATAAACATGATAAAACCCCATTTAAACACATCATAAAAGTATTAAATAATTCAACTACATCATAAGGCTATAAAAATAGAAAATGACTTCATAGTCAAGGCTAAAGGTAAACAAAAAACCTTCATCAGCAAAATTTTATATTGGCAAATTTCCAATGAAGTTTATTACACTAAAATTGTTGGCAAATTTCCAATGCATTTATTAACAATAAAGTTATTGGCAAATTTCCAATTTACATAATTTAAAAGCAGTGTAGATGAGATATTTAAATGAGTTTGAATTACCAACCTTACACTGCTTTTAAATAATGTTCTTTACTCAATTATTTGTCTATTAAAATGGAAACCCTTGTTTTTTAACCTTTTTCCCCTTATTCCTTAAACATTAGAGCCATAACCCCCCCCCCCCCCCCCCCAAAGCCAATTATTACTTTCCAATGTAACCTAAATTTCCAATATACATAATTTTAAATTTCAATTCCTCATGATATATAACCGTATCATTATTATTTTCTTTCATATATAAATCTGAAACAACCATCTTTAAATGGAAAATTTTAAAGAAAAAAAAAAGGAAAAAAAAAATCCTACCCCCCACACATTTTTTCAACCCCCTTTTGATTCATCATCCCCCACCTCAATCACAACCTTCAATTTGTGGTATGGTACATTGCAATACAATTTCACAGAGATCCATACACTTGAACACAAGTTTTTGTTGCAAACTAAAAAAATCCTTATTTTCGACCAATATTTGGCCCCTTATTCATAAATGTTTGAGCAATTAACCCCAAAACTCAATTCCTACTTTCTCTTCGTGATAAAAAATAACTAACTTAAAATGTAAATTTTAAACAAAAAAAAAAGGAAAAAAAAAAATTACCCCTTTTTTTACCCCCGCCCCCCTTATGATTCATCACCCCCACCCCCCTTTCCTCCCAAACCAAGCTCAATAACAGCCTTGCCTTTGTGGTATGGTACCTTGTAATACAATTTTAGAGAGATCCATACACTTGAACACAAGTTATTGTCTAGAAACTAAAAAATGCTTATTTTAAACCCCCTTTTAGGCCCCTTATTACTAAACGTTTTGGGCAATTACCACAACACTCAATTCCAGCTTTCCCTTTGTGAAATGGAACCTTGTAGTAAAATTTCAGAAAGATCCATACACTTACACACAAGTTATTGTCATGAAACTAGAAAAATGCTTGTTTTTTGCCCCCTTTTGGCAATTAACCCCAAAATCTATCCCAGCATTGACCCTTTGTGATATGGAATCTTGTGGTACAATGTCAAAGAGATCCATATGCTAACACACAAGTTATGTCTGGAAGTTACAAAAATGCTTATTTTCGGCCCCTTTTTGGCCCCTAATTCCTTAACTGTTGGTACCATAACCCCCAAAATCAATCCCCACCTTCCTATTGTGGTATTGAACCTTATGGTAAAATTTCATAGAGATCCATTCACTTAAACTAAAGTTAGAGTGCGAAAACCATTGTGTATTCGGACGACGACGCCGGACGACGACGACGACGCCGGACGACGACGACGACTACGACGACGACGACGACGACAACGACGACGACGCCAACGTCATACCAATATACGACCTCAAAATTTTTTTGCGGTCGTATAACAATGATATAAGGGGCAATACTGATAGAGCATAATACATACATAGGATAACAATGATATAAGGGGCAATACTGATAGAGCATAATGCATACATAGAATAACAATGATATAAGGGGTAATACTGATAGAGCATAAAACATACATAGTTAAGCCATTTCAATTGATATTTTATAGTAGGTCTTTCTATGTTGTGATGTTACACTATTGTTTCAGATAAGGGTGAAGGTTTGGTACAATTAAAATGTTTAAACCCGCTGCAATTGTTTGCACCTGTCCTAAGTCAGAAATCTGATTATATAGATTAGACCGTTGGTTTTCCTGTTTGAATGGTTTTACACTAGTAACTTTTGGGGCCCTTTATAGCTTGCTGTTCGGTGTGAGCCAAGGCTCCGTGTTGAAGACTGTACTTTGACCTATAATGGTTTACTTTTATAAATTTTGACTTGGATGGAGAGTTTTCTCATTGGCACTCATACCACATCTTCTTATATCTATATAGGATAACAGGAATCACCAAAACTATTAAAAACAAGAAATGATTGTAACAGGATGCTGTTACGAAGTCTCCCAAACGAAGCTCCCATAATTCGTAATTCCCAGGGTCGCCTGACATTGGGCAAAGTCCAGTGAAAATTGGTTTGGTCCAGTAAAGTTATATGCATTAGTGATGCCTGGGGACTAACCCTGTATATCATTCAAATCATCTTGGCATGACAAACCAGAATATATATGGTTTAGGGGTGGGGATCTCAACCATTTACAAGATATTAGAACTTTCTCAAATGGCAGGGGGTCGGGATGACCCCTGGGGACTAACCCTGTATATCATTCAAACCATCTTAGCATGACAAACCAGAATATATATGGTTTAGGGGTGGGGATCTTGACCACTTACAAGATATTAGAACTTTCTTAAATGGCATGGGGTGGGGGTGACCCCTGGGGACTAACCCTGTATTTCATTTGATTTGCTTTATTATGACAAACCAGAATATATATGGTTTAGGGGTGGGGATCTCGACCATTTACAAGATATTAGAACTTTCTCAAATGGCAGGGGGTCGGGATGACCCCTGGGGACTAACCCTGTATATCATTCAAACCATCTTAGCATGACAAACCAGAATATATATGATTTAGGGGTGGGGATCTTGACCACTTACAAGATATTAGAACTTTCTTAAATGGCATGGGGTGGGGGTGACCCCTGGGGACTAACCCTGTATTTCATTTGATTTGCTTTATTATGACAAACCAGAATATATATGGTTTAGGGGTGGGGATCTCGACCATTTACAAGATATTAGAACTTTCTCAAATGGCAGGGGGTCGGGATGACCCCTGGGGACTAACCCTGTATATCAATCAAACCATCTTAGCATGACAAACCAGAATATATATATGGTTTAGGGGTGGGGATCTCGACAATTTACAAGATATTAGAACTTTCTCAAATGGCAGGGGGTCGGGATGACCCCTGGGACTAACCCTGTATATAATTCAAACCATCTTAGCATGACAAACCAGAATATATATGGTTTAGGGGTGGGGATCTTGACCACTTACAAGATATTAGAACTTTCTCAAATAGCAGGGGGTCGGGATGACCCCTGGGGACTAATCCTGTATATCATTCAAACCATCTTAGCATAACAAACCAGAATATATATGGTTTAGGGGTGGGGATCTCGACCATTTACAAGATATTAGAACTTTCTCAAATGGCAGGGGGTCGGGATGACCCCTGGGGACTAACCCTGTATATCATTCAAACCATCTTAGCATGACAAACCAGAATATATATGGTTTAGGGGTGGGGATCTTGACCACTTACAAGGTATTAGAACTTTCTTAAATGGCAGGGGGTGGGGATGACCCCTGGGGACTAACCCTGTATTTCATTTAATGGGTTTTATCATTTAGAACATTTTCAATTAAAAAGATTGTGTCTATCACAAACGGTTTTCAATTTATAATCTTTGAAAACTTTAAAAATAAAAAACCAATAGGGTTCTATAGTAAATCCCTTTTTTCTTTTTGCCCCTCAAAGTACCCCTTTATAAACCCCATTGCACAAACAAAACCCTGATTGCACCACTAGACATGTTAGTCTAACATATTGTGAAACCCTAAGTTAATCTGACAAGCGGTTTTGGAGAACGGGTGCGGACAAGTTCAAATTTAAAAGCGGCGGAAGAGGAAGAGGAAGAGGAAGAATAATAATAATAATAATAAGAACTGAGCAAAAACAATAAGTCTTCCCAAACTTCGTTTGGAAGACTTAACTATAGCGATAAATAATGTTAACATGGGATCAAGAGTCTAAAAATTTCATATCATTCTAACACAAAAAAAATTAAAGAACTACCTTTGTTCCTATATGATAATTCGCATAGCATTTAAACTCATACTCTCCATATGGCTTGTACATATAAATAATAAGATGTGGTATGAGTGCCAATGAGACAACTATCCATCCGAGTCACAATGTGTAAAAAAGGTCAAAGTATGGCCTTCAACACAGAGCCTTGGCTCACACCGAACAGCAAGCTATAAAGGGCTCCAAAAAACTTAGTGTAAAACAATAAAAACAGGAAAAACCAACGGTCTAATCTATATAGTCTCAGGATTGTGTCTGTATACATCTTTTTTCTGTGGGCTAGTCATGATGCTTTTGATTTTCTTGCTTGAGTTGTCTAAAGAAGCCTTACCCAAATATATTTTGCTTCATGATGGCTAATTCAAAGATTGTAAAGTTTGTTAAAAATATTTTTTACGGTAAAGTGCAGATAATATCTAGTAAAATGTCCCTAATAAGTTAATGTGTGAATGTCCACATTTTCACAATATCATTGAGACATCAAGACCTTTCTTCACTAAAGCATCAAATATGTATCAGCCTATTCACTTATCGATGAAATTACCAGAATTTTTATATATTTTCAGGGACCAGATAGTGCCCCTTTTCATACCTTCTCTGTTCTATTGTTAGTCCCCCCTTTTTAACACAATTAACAAAATCAGTTTAGTATCTATCTAGATGTACATGTATTAATAACTTTAATACGAATTGTTAAACATATACAGTTTCTCAAAACAAAACTTATTTAAACAAGCATTCTGTGAGTATTGCCTGGCAATGCATAGTCCCCTACTGGTTAAAAATTCGTTGTACTGGAACAAAATGCTACCTTGATCTATAACTTGTCATGGTGTAAACTATATAACAAATATAAAGTCAATACCTTCAAGGATGACAATAAAAAATGTGGAAAATTGATTGAGTGAATTTTCTAAGTCCAAGGACCATAACTTTGCACAAAATCATCAGACTGAAACAAAATTAGAACTTGATCTGTAACTTGTCATGAGTAAACAATACGCCAAATATCAAATCAATATCTTTAAGCATGAAGAAAAAAAGTGTGGAAAACTGATTTGCTGGACTGACAGTGACAGACAGACAGACAGACAGACAAGACAGACAGACAGACGGACAGAGTGCAAACCTAAAGTCCCCTTTGACTTTGTCGGTAGGGGACTAAAAATATGACCACTGGAGAATGAAATTGAGGTCAGGATAAAATGAATTAACAAAACGAATATTTTTCCCCTGTCATGCATACGGAAAAACAGACATTATTAAAAAATTCGAGATCAAGGGCACATAATGTGATAAAGGATCAGAAAGGCATGTACTTCTTATAATGAATACAAATTCCAAATATTGTTGACAAGTCATGGACATTAAATGTGAAACTTGATACAAAAACAATTATCTGATAAATGAGCTTGAACATAGGGTCTACATGAAATGTCGGTCTTTATTCCATACAATAAACTGATATACCAAATATTCTTGAGACAATAAATGACAACAGATGGCCAACACATTCTACCAGTCATTGTGAGGAAAAGTAGTAACACTATTCACACCCTTTTTTCTCCTTCAAAACCATGCACTTTAACATCATATTCAAAACACACTATAATGAAAATACTGTTTGATAAGTACTGTACCTTCATAGAGTGATAAAGCTTCTGAGCAAAATAAGCTGGTCTGTTTTTGACGACTCTCACTGAAGAAAAACAAATAACATTTAAATTAATGACATTGAAACTTTTATTTGAACTTTATAGTTATAATTGTTATATCTTCGTGGTATCGTTATTTGATCTTTATAGTTATAATTGTTATATCTTTGTGGTATCGTTATTTGAACTTTATAGTTATAACTGTTATATCTTTGTGGTATCGTTATTTGAACTTTATAGTTATAACTGTTATATCTTGGTGGTATCGTTATTTGAACTTTATAGTTATAATTGTTATATCTTGGTGGTATCGTTATTTGAACTTTATAGTTATAATTGTTACATCTTGGTGTTATCGTTATTTGAACTTTATAGTTATAATTGTTATATCTTTGTGGTATCGTTATTTGAACTTTATAGTTATAATTGTTACATCTTGGTGGTATCGTTATTTGAACTTTATAGTTATAATTGTTACATCTTGGTGGTATCGTTATTTGAACTTTATAGTTATAATTGTTATATCTTGGTGGTATCGTTATTGGAACTTTATAGTTATAATTGTTACATCTGTGTTATCGTTATTTGAACTTTATAGTTATAATTGTTATATCTTGGTGGTATCGTTATTTGAATTTTATAGTTATAATTGTTATATCTTGGTGTTATCGTTATTTGAACTTTATAGTTATAATTGTTATATCTTGGTGGTATCGTTATTTGAACTTTATAGTTATAATTGTTATATCTTGGTGGTATCTTTATTTGAACTTTATAGTTATAATTGTTATATCTTGGTGGTATCGTTATTTGAACTTTATAGTTATAATTGTTATATCTTGGTGTTATCGTTATTTGAACTTTATAGTTATAATTGTTATATCTTGGTGTTATCGTTATTTGAACTTTATAGTTATAATTGTTATATCTTGGTGTTATCGTTATTTGAACTTTATAGTTATAATTGTTATATCTTGGTGGTATCGTTATTTGAACTTTATAGTTATGTTATATCTTGGTGTTATCGTTATTTGAACTTTATAGTTATAATTGTTATATCTTGGTGTTATCGTTATTTGAACTTTATAGTTATAATTGTTATATCTTGGTGTTATCGTTATTTGAACTTTATAGTTATAATTGTTATATCTTGGTGTTATCGTTATTTGAACTTTATAGTTATAATTGTTATATCTTGGTGTTATTGTTATTTGAAGAATTTGGTTTTGATGGCATATCTTTTGACAGTTTAATTCATTTACAACTGAAATAGACTTAACATATGGTATAGCAATCTGTCTATTGTTGAAGACCTTATGTAGTCCTCTAAATCACTTTACATTTAATTCTTTGTGTTGTTGGGATGCTGTCTCTCTGTTATATACCTCACATAAAATTATTTGCAAGCAACATTTTCTAAATTGCCAATCATTAACCTCACATTTTTGTTCATTGTTCAACAATCACGATAATAAATGCACAAAATTTTCTGAATATCCCAGTCATGCCAGTAATAATCATTAATTTTAACAATAATAAATAAATTGTTTAAATAACATTCATTGTTGTTTCTACATGTTTATCATTTGTTTTGTAAACACATTTTTTTACAACAACCAGTACCACAATTAACTAACCTATAGCTAAGATTGATTTCTAAGTTGCATTCTGTACAAGTAACTCACCTTTTTTAACATTCAGATTTTAAAGTTGCCTGGCATATAAGTAACATACCGATAGCTAACATTCAAATTTCTATGTTGCCTTACATACAAGTAAATCAACTATAGCTATCATTCAAATTTCTTAGCCCAGTGATATATATATATATTACCTATAGCTAACATTCCTATTTCAAGGTTGCCTGACACACAAGTCACTTACCTATAGCTAACATTCCTATTTCAAGGTTGCCTGACACACAAGTCACTTACCTATAGCTGACATTCCTATTTCAAGGTTGCCTGACACACAAGTCACTTACCTATAGCTAACATTCCTATTTCAAGGTTGCCTGACATTTCACTTTTAATGGATTGTTCTATGTCTTTGCCGGCCATTTTGTGATAAGCATCAAACACAGCACGTAGTTGTTCATAACTCTGAGAAGCCATGATGGCATTAAATGTTGACTCATCTGTCCCAAGTTTCTTCTCTCCTGCTTGTAGTAATCTCTGAAATAATCAGAAAATATCAATTAATTTCAAGATGGCTTTTTTCAATTATCCACAGAATATACATACATTTGCACCTGTCCCAAGTCAGAAATCTGATGTTCAGTAGTTGTCGTTTGTTGATGTGGTTCATAAGTGTTTCTCATTTCTCGTTTTTTATTTAGATTAGACCATTGGTTTTCCCGTTTGAATGGTTTTACACTAGTAATTTTGGGGGCCCTTTATAGCTTACTGTTTGGTGTGAGCCAAGGCTCCGTGTTGAAGACAGTACTGTGACCTATAATGGTTTACTTTTATAAATTTTGACTTGGATGGAGAGTTGTCTCATTTGCACTCATACCACATCTTCTTATATCTATAACACAAAAATATAACCAATACTCCTTATACACTACAGGAAGCCTAAAAGTATCGACTAACATCAACAGCAGAAACTCTCCGACTTTTGAACAGTGGGAGTGAGAATCATATGAGGATCCTGAACCACAAGAACCCTATAGATATGACACTTATATATGTAATGTTATTATCAGTGGGGATCCTGAACCACAAGAACCCTACAGATATGACACTTATATATATGTAATGTTATTATCAGTGGGGATCCTGAACCACAAGAACCCTACAGATGTGACACTTATATATGTAATGTTATTATCAGTGGGGATCCTGAACCACAAGAACCCTATAGATATGACACTTATATATGTAATGTTATTATCAGTGGGGATCCTGAACCACAAGAACCCTATAGATATGACACTTATATATATGTAATGTTATTATCAGTGGGGATCCTGAACCACAAGAGCCCTATAGATATGACACTTATATATATGTAATGTTATTATCAGTGGGGATCCTGAACCACAAGAGCCCTATAGATATGACACTTATATATGTAATGTTATTATCAGTGGGGATCCTGAACCACAAGAGCCCTATAGATATGACACTAATATATGAAATGATATTATCAGTGGGGATCCTGAACCACAAGAGCCCTATAGATATGACACTTATATATAAAATGATATTATCAGTGGGGATCATGAACCACAAGAACCCTATAGATATGACACTTATATATATGTAATGTTATTATCAGTGGGGATCCTGAACCACAAGAACCCTATAGATATGACACTTATATATATGTAATGTTATTATCAGTGGGGATCCTGAACCACAAGAACCCTATAGATATGACACTTATATATATGTAATGTTATTATCAGTGGGGATCCTGAACCACAAGAACCCTTTAGATATGACACTTATATATATGTAATGTTATTATCAGTGGATATACATCTGTGATCCTCCAGGTTAAAGGTTTTAAAAGGTATTAATTTCCTTCTTTCTGATGGCATATCTAGCAAATTATATACTAAGTCTATTAAAAAAGGAATAAAAGAACACTGTTCCAATGTTCTGTCCAATAAATTTTTGGGAGGTTTTCTTTTAAATCTTTTTCTTAAATATCCTACGATAAATGAAGGCATAATATTATTTGCAATGCAATTGTCCGGAATATTTCTATTTCCAAGGGCCTAACTCCTGCCAAAAATATTTGATTGGCATTGATAATTTAAATCATTCAAGACCATGCTGATGAAAACCTTTGATTTGACAGAAAATGAAGTAAATGGTATGACTTAATCATACAAATAAAATTGTAAATAAAAGAAGAATGTGTCTGAGGACACGAATGCCCCCACTTAAGCTTTCCAATTTTCAAAGTTAAAAAGGGGCATTACTCTAGAACGGTAAATGACTCACAACCCAAATTCAAACTCTGTCTGCATGTTGTGGTTCTTATCATTGTGTACGAGTTTCATAAAATTTGCATTAGGCAAACTAAAGTTAAGTGCAGAAATGAAAATTGGACGGACAGAAAGACAGTCAAGGGTAACCAGTGTTCTCCCCAGGCCCTTAAAGGACCGCGGGCCTGCGATGTATAATTTTCTACCGTGGTGGTATCGTTCTTGCCGCGATGTATAATTTTTCTCCGTGGTGGTAAAATTTTCGGTAAAAAAATCGTAAATCGGTAAAGTTTTAAACGACTTAAACCTTTTCCGTGGGGTATAAAATTTCAGATGAAAACTGACCAGTTCAAACCAGTTCAATCCAGTTCTTACAACTAGGTTGTTTACACCACGTGATCGATTTACCTTTTGAGGTTAACCTTGATGATTGGATTTAATCGATGTACATGATTCTTTTGTGTTTTAATTAATTAAGAGATCATAATTAATGATCAGACTTGTGAGGGACAAGCAGACATTTGTTAATTAACTCTATTACTCCAGCCTTTGGTTATAAATAATTTGCGTATTTTAAACGTGTTGGAGTTACTTCCCCTGATTTAGCTTATTACAAATTAGTGCTCCAAAAATATTATCTATCACTGAAAATAGAAATAAAGTACAAATTGAATGCAAAATTATATAAGAATGTTAGCTTAAGGATAAAAACTTTCTTTCAACATACCAACAAAAATATATTGCAAATTATTTTTGATAATCATACTTTTATTAATGCACAGACATATTATAATAAATAGGTAGTATTTTCCAATTGTGTACTGACTTGATTTAAAGAAGTCCCAGTCTTAAGACACTGATTGGAACTCAGCTTGATATGAAATATGGGTGTACAGATAGATGATTAAAATTTACTTCTATTATCTGTCTACCAAGTAACACAATAATGATTCTAATAATAATTGTATTGTTGTTTAAAAGAATCATGTCTTAAGCTATGGAAAATAGTTTTTAATTTACTAGAGGTTCTGCATTAAAATTTAATCTTGTTTAAATTTAATTGTTATGGTGTAATCTAACAAAAATGGGGAATGTGTTGTGTAACTACAAGTATTAGGACAAATTGGCTTGATCAAAATATAAAAAGTGACTTAAGTTTAAAGACTAATAGTGCTTTCTTTTATTTATTCTTAAAAGAAATTAAAGTATACAAACTGTTTATTGATTTACTTCTTTTTTTACCAGTAATTTTTTTGACCCAAAGTCTACATAACACAGTAAACAAAACAAAGACAAAAAGGTAATGACACAAAAACTAACAAGAAAAAAAAAGGCGATGCAACGCGACACAACATATTGTACAAATCATTTTGACACGCGTTACCCTGGTGCTATCCAAAAATCCTGGGGAGAACACTGGTAACACTTAAGGCCCCTGTTGCCTACTGCAGTGGCATAAAAATAAGAAGGAATTTTTAAAAAGAACTAAAATCTTAAAATACTACAACTATTACATACAGATAATATATAAATCAATCCAATCTTGAAATTAGTTATACATAGACATTGTAGTTTTTTCAGTTTCACAATTTTTTTATTTATTCAATTCAATGCTATACTATGTGATGCGTTCCTAAAACACCTTAAAATGAAATCGTTTCTTTTATTCCTCTTATATTAAGTACACAAAATATATTTTACATCTATCATTGAATACTATTAATGTATCAATTCATTAATACAAAACATGTGGTATTTATAAACAAACAAATTAAAGTAATAGGCGACAGTTGAATAAGAAAATATGGTGTTTTCCTTAATGATGCAGATAATTAGTTCATATTCTATCCAACATCATTTTTTAAGGCTTCTTGGGGACAGAAGTAGGACTGGCTTTATCAATTTTCTATCAAAAGTTGAACATCTAATCTTACATTTAATTTTCTGAGAAAAAATGATAGCCTTAATAGACATCTACTTACCTGTGCATCTTGTTGGGCTTTAGTCGGATCAACATTCTGATTTTCCATTCTTCCTCCCTAAAAACATATATAGAAAGTCTTACCTGTGCATCTTGTTGGGCCTGAGTCAGATTAACAGTCTGATTTTCCATTCTTCCTCCCTATAAACATAGATTGGAAGTCTTACCTGTGCATCTTGTTGGGCTTTAGTCGGATCAACATTCTGATTTTCCATTCTTCCTCCCTATAAACATATATAGAAAGTCTTACCTGTGCATCTTGTTGGGCTTGAGTCAGATTAACAGTCTGATTTTCCATTCTTCCTCCCTATAAACATAGATTGGAAGTCTTACCTGTGCATCTTGTTGGGCTTTAGTCAGATTAACAGTCTGATTTTCCATTCTTCCTCCCTATAAATATAGATAGAAAGTCTTACCTGTGCATCTTGTTGGGCTTTAGTCGGATCAACAGTCTGATTTTCCATTCTTCCACCCTATAAATACAGATTGGAAGTTAATGATTGATAAATCTTTCGCTATTTTTCTCTCCAGAATATACATGTTGCTACTTTTTGAGAGATAACAAATTTCAAACTTTTAAATTCTGTTGCTGTTTTCGCTAAAACTTAGTTTTACAGGCTTTTATTCATGATTTGCTTTGAGTAGCAGATGCTTATAATTATCTCCTTTAAGTAAGAATAAAAGGTAAGAAGATCAAAGAGGCTAGTTCAGGATGGAAGGTTCTGGAACAATGATCAAATCAGGATCAAACATAAGAAGAAAACTTCAAAGGTGAGCAAACCATTTTATCCAGATTTCTAAAGACTGGATTTCACCTCACTCTCCTAAAAAAAGGTTTCTGAAGGATTTAAAACAATCTTACTAACTATATTTCAGTGTTCCCTAAGAGGATTAAAACAATCCTTACATCACGTTACCAGTAATTCCCCCTGAAACTGTATCAACTCCCGTTAGAACAATCCTTGTATCAATATCTATAACTATAATATGCCTTTTTGTCTAATGTGAAATGACCAATACTAAACATGTCAGAGCATTTTTTTACATATGATTGGTGAAAATGTGTTATTGGGTTGTTGCCTCATTGGTTTTAAATCATTATTTATATGGGGGAAAAAAATATATAAACCAGCCACTTACAGATGCCATGGAAACCATAAGTCTTTTGAAATGTCCTGAAGTATCACTAATGATGTCATCTTCTAACTTCCTACTGTATACTAAAAATAATCACACAAGTTATTACTTGATTAGTAAGAACTGCAAGCAAAAAGTTCCTAAAGCAACATGTGTGTCAAGAGAAGTATTAAAAATCTAGTGTTTTTTTTTTATACAGTATATCTATATCTGTGTGTTTGTTCATATACAAAAGAATCCCTACGAGCTTCTTAATCAATAATATAGATGATATATTACTTATAGTATATAATCAAACTGCTTTTGAGCATTGAAGGGTAGAGATTGCTTCTATTTTGCAATAACTACATTACACGTATGTTTCAGAGGAATCCATACTTTTGATTAGCTGAATGCAATCGTGAGACATTCAAATAAAATTCAACATTAATCACTGCATGTTCTTCCCATGACAATGTATAGGAAAACCCATGATAATGCATAGGAAAACCCATGACAATGCATAAGAAAACCCATGACAATGCATAGGAAAACCCATGACAATGCATAGGAAAACCCATGACAATGCATAATAGGAAAACCCATGACAATGCATAGGAAAACCCATGACAATGCATAAGAAAACCCATGACAATGCATAGGAAAACCCATGACAATGCATAATAGGAAAACCCATGACAATGCATAGGAAAACCCATGACAATGCATAAGAAAACCCATGACAATGCATAGGAAAACCCATGACAATGCATAAGAAAACCCATGACAATGCATAGGAAAACCCATGACAATGCATAAGAAAACCCATGACAATGCATAGGAAAACAACCAAAAATCTTGATATAACTCAGAATTTTATAGATGTAGCATATATATGTAATTATAAGAACTGAATGCTTCTTTTTGTAATTTTATAGGGTTTTAAAATTGTTTTTCTTATGAAGTGCTTGTGTGCTTCGGTTAATGCTTTTACACCCAAATAAAATTACGAAAATGAAGTTTTCAATTGTTAATTTAGCATTTAATTGTTATGAAACACATTTAGAAATATTTTAAAATGGAGTTATCTTTCTTTGTCTATAATTGTTGTTGAACTTGATTTTTTTTTTAGATAGATTCATGTGTCATGCACAACTTATGTACTTTTTAAAAATAAAATAGTTTTCTTGACAAGTATGGTTATACACATCATTTGTTACTTGCATCTGAGTACATATTAATAATAATCAACTGCTTGACATGGGCATGGACATAGTCTAAAAAATGTTGACCTCAGTACAGTACACTGTGTTGTTTAGATGAGGCTTAGACAAAATATATTTAACAAACCAATGACTAGGATGATAATTGAAAAAAATAGGCAGGACTGCAGGGTTTTGAAGAAAAAAAAAAGGCAGGATGAGATTATTTGCAAAAAAAAAAAGGCAGGATGAGATTATTTGCAAAAAAAAAAGGCAGGATGACAATTTAGTTAAATAAAAAAGTCAGGATAAACTAAAAAAAAAGGTAGGACCGAATAGAGGAATAGAGTGAAAAATAAAAAGGCAGGACCGAATAGAGGGGAAAATAAAAAGGCAGGACAAAATTTTTCATCCTAGCCCCCCCCCCCCCCCCCCCCCCCCCCCCCATAAAAATCAAATGGTAGCTCCCTTACAGACATTGAAATCTTACATAACACTGATCACCAATCCATGAAATGAGTTTAATATTAGGTGAAACCTGTATTACAGACATTGACATCTTACAAACATTGGATTAACCAAATAAAGTTGACCTGTTGCTTATAGTATCTGATAGCAAGATCTAATCACAAAACCTTAATGTTGACCAATGAACCATGAAAATGAGGTCAAAGTTAGATGGCTTCATTTTCCTGATGCATGTTTCTATTACAGAGACTGGAAGCAACCCGAGATTACTGAGACTGCATGAAAATGAAAAAGTTAAAACTAAATAACAATTACAAGATATATGTCCTTTTGTCAAAAAACAAAAACTGATTCAACAGAATATGAAATTTGACATAAAGCTTACACATTGAACAGGCTCCCATTTTGAATTCTCTATTTTTATAACACAAACAGGTGACCCTAATATTAACCTTGTTTATATGTAAAACTTAGTTTCCTGATTTGTTTATATTTTATATGACCTGTAACTTACATCTTTTGTATGTAGCAATAATTTCCTGTATCTGTTTGTTTGTCCTTGAACACAAAATTTCAATCATGGCATCTTCATCTGTTCCAACACCCTGTTAACAAAACAAAAAATGTGAATAACATAAAAAATAAATTAAACAAAAGGACAACAATAGCAGAGATCCAAATTTTATCATTTCCACTAGTATTGCCTTCAACAAAGCAGGAGGTACATTGATGCAATACAACTCACTGTGAAAGAACTTTTATTCGTGGGTATCAATTTTCGTGGTTTGAGCAAAAGTTACATGTTCCTGGGTTCTTAAATTCGTGGATTTTAGTTTTCTGAAAAAAATCAAGTGAAGAATATGAAGCCATCAGAAACGAAGATTCTTGAAAATATTCATGTTACCTTATCATGATTTGTGGGACATTGCAAAATAAGGTGTTCATTTTCACTTACTTGTTCATCTTTCATTATTGACAATATTCATCAAATTTCTAAATAAATAATTGCTTTCAGAAATAAGCTGATTTACTTATGCTTACAAATTGTCTCAATAGAAGGAAATTGCATAGTAAACATTTAAATATTTGCACACTTGTACATGTTGTAATCAGAACTGATGAAACTAATTAACCCGAGATTGAATGATCAACAGATTAACAATCATCAAAGGTGTTAATTTGGCCATAAACATGTCATTTAAAGAAAACAGTTACATAAAAAAATGCTTCAAATGTACCTCTCTTTAATTGAAGATTTAATTAATTATGAAATGAAAAAGCAAGTCCAATATGAAATAGTTATATTTTTTTCCCCTTTATTAAGAGAATTATGAGGAGATAAAATTATCATTACATATCATCACTGGAATACTTTCATCGATCAAAACTAATTTTTCATGAGAACAAGCATTCTGAGAGTATTGCATGGCAATACATTGTCCCCTACTGGGTAAAAATTCATTTTACTGGAACTAAATGCTAACTTGTTCTATAATTTGTCATGGTGTAAACAAAAAGTAAATATCATGTCAATATCTTCAAGGATGACTAAAAACAGTGTGGAAAACTGATTATATGAGTGAAAAAAACATTAGATATGATTAATAGTTCTCTAAAATTAGATATGATGTAATACAGTGTATATCTATTTTCAAATTATAATCAAATATAATTAATAATTCCAAATATTTTTTCTTTCATTTGTCACAAACTAATATAGATTTGTAACTTATCTATAAAATGTCAGAAACTTTTATCTTCACAATGTAATGAATTGAAATATATACATTAATAAAAATAGATTATTATCTAATTAAAGGATTTCTCTTCATAATTTTTTTTATATCTATAGCATTCAGAAAATTAGTTTATACTAAATAACAAACAAACCTGCCAAAGAATTCTTCAAATAATTTAACAAAGAATGTCTTTAAAAAAATGAGTTATCTCCCTTTGTACAGAAATATGGTTTAACATAGTACTCTAACATTAGATATGGTCCAGAGTTATGGTCCATAACTCTGGACTAAATCATCAGACCGGAACAAAATTCGAATTTGATCTATAACTTGTCATGATAAAACTATATACCAAATATCAAATCAATATCTTCAAGAACGAAGAAAAAAAGTCTGGAAAGCTGATTTGCCGGACTGATGGATGGACAGACGGAGAGACAGACAAACAGACAGACGGACGGAGTGCAAACCTAAAGTCCCCTTTGACTTCGTCGGTAGGGGACTAATTAAAAGCTTAAAAGTCGTACAGTTTAAGTTTTTTTCAAAAATAATTGGGTAAAATCCTGTCTGAAACTGTATATGTAGTTGATGGTGCATTTGCTGATATTCGATGTATTTTCTAGATTATATGCCAATATCCATGTAGTCAAAGCTACATGGGGATCTTTCAACGTCTTGATTTTGAAAATAGTTTGTTATATATTACGTTGGACACTTAAATTCATAGATAAAGCCATCCACGAAAACCACAAAAATTGTTACCCCACAAATAAGAGTATTTTCACAGTATTTGACTTCAAATTCTCCAGGAAAAACTTACTTTGTAAACAGACAAAATATATATAAAGTAATCAAAAACAAAAATCAATGAAACCTAAAATATTGTACAGGATTATAGACACACACAATTTCTTAAATCTCAGTCAAAACAAGTTGACTCAAATGATTTAGAGTAGACCACATCTAGTATTTATATTGTGAAGACACTTGTTGAAGACTGTATGATGACTCTCTGTTTTATTTGTGTTCTGTTGGTGTCTCAGTCAAGCCTGTTGTCTTTTCTGTATTAATATAAAACCCGTACTAGCTACTCATTGTATACATATACTGAGGATGTCATATCTTTGAAAGGTAGTTGAATGGAAACTATCATTTCAGTACTTGATATTTAGCATGTGAGATTGAATTATGGGGATTCAACAGGAGACGGAATTATAGGGACACAACAGAAGATGGAATTATGAGGACACAACAGGAGATGGAATTATGGAGAGACAACAGGAGATGGAATTATGGGGACACAACAGGAGATGGAATTATAGGACACAAGTGATGGAACTATGGGGACACAACAAGAGATGGAATTATGGGGACACAACAGGAGATGGAATTATGGGGTCACAACAGAAGGTGGAATTATGGGGACACAACAAGAGATGGAACTATGGGGACACGACAAGAGATGGAATTATGGGGTCACAACAGGAGACAGAACTAGTGAAACTGTGAGATACTGCTCACTGATGATACCCCCGCCCAAATATTTCAATAAATAGGAAGTTGTTGAGTGATGAATCTGAAAACGCATCACACGGTAAAGCTGACTTATATAAACCCTGAAACCAAATTTCAGAAATCCTTATGATGTAGTTTCTGAGAAAGATGCAACGAAAAATATTTATGACGGATGGACGGACAGACAGAGGTAAAACAGTATACACCACGTTTTTAAAGCGGGGGTATAATTATGGGGTCACAACAGAAGATTGGATTTAGGGGTCACAACAGGAGATTGAATTATGGGGACACAACAAAAGATGTAATTATGGGGTCACAACAGGAGATGGAATTATGGGTCACAACAGGAGATGGAATTATGGGGACACAACAAAAGATGGACTTATGGGAACACAACAGGAGATGGAATTAATGGGACACAACAGGAGATAGAATTATTGGGACACAACAGGAGATGGAATTATGGGGACACAACAAAAGATGGAATTATGGGGACACAACAAGAGATGGAATTATGGGGACACAACAGGAGATGGAATTATTGAGACACAAGAAGAGATGGAACTATTTGGACACAACAGGAGATGGAATTATGGGTCACAACAGGAGATTGAATTATGGGGACACAACAGGAGATAGAACAAGTGAAACTGCGAGCTACTGCTCACTGATGATACCCCAAGCCCAATTATGCATTTGTTGTTGAGTGATGAATCTGAAAATGCATCACACAGTACAGCTGACTTATATAAACCCTGAAACCAAATTTCAGAAATCCTTATGTGTAGTTCCTGAGAAAGATGCGACGAAAAATATTCATGGGACGGACGGACGGACCAATGGACGGACAGACAGAGGTAAAACAGTATACCCGCACTTTTTTAAAGCGGGGTATAATTATGGGGTCACAACAGGAGATTGAATTATGGGGACACAATAGGAGATGGAAATATGTGGTCACTACAGGAGATTGAAGGCAGACGTCAGCCATCCAATCAATAATGACTATGTGTCATATGTCATCAAAATAAAAGATTACATTAAACAGTAGTTATACTGACCTTCATTGCTCGTTTCAGCTCATAAGCATCAAATTCATCCCATGGCATCATCAAAGCAACAACACAATCTTCAAATTTACCTCCTAACTCACTCTTCAGTTCTTTGATTAAATCCTGTTCAAATAAATAAGGTAAAGTTTGACTTGTTCTGTCTCTATGTACACAAATACAGTCATTTCAAATTATGTAAGAGTGGATATCTAAATTCAAAAAGAGAAATAGATATTGTATGATTACAAAGTGTGCATTACCTTTCTGCTGTGTAAATCTTACTTTAAACTAAGGAGGTAGAATTAAATTTATATGTCAAACGGTCACGAGCAATAAAATATATTTAAACTGATATCTATTAAAAGATGCATTCTGATGCCTATCTTAAAGATAGCTACAAAGAGTCCCAGTGTAAATAATTCAGATAAAAAAATATCCACAAATATCAACAAGCATCTGTACATTATTAAAAACCATCTGGTCACAAGAACAAATTCACCAAAGCAAACAGTTATCACAAATCTATTTTTAGTAACCAAGACATTGACATTGGATGTAATAGGATTTAAAAGTCATTAGAGATCTTGCTCTTGTGACCATATATCCAAGTTAGGTTGAAATTTCATATGTAGTACAGACATCTGGAAAACAGTTTTCTGCACATATTTCAGTCTATTTTAAGTAACTCTGACCTTGACCTTTGATGTTATGACCGGACTTTCCTATCATTATTTGTGACTATATCAACAAGAACAGTTGCAATCCCATGTGAAGTATTGGATTTAGCATCCTGAATCCTCTTTTCTTCATAAATTTCACGCCATTTTATAATAACTATGACCTTGTCTTTGGATTTAGTTAAAATCAATAGGTATCTTCTTCTGATTATATGTGACTATGTGTCCAATTATGATTGCAATCCAATATAAAGTTTAAGGGGCTTAATTCAAACAGATATTGATCAACTTTATATAAACTTTAATCTGTAACTTTTCATCACAGCAACAGCTCTATCAACTAAAGAGTTCTTATATTATTTTTGTTAAAGGCTCATAATTGTATGTAAAACTTCTCATAGGAACAAAACTTAATCTGTAACTTCAAATAAGTTGATGTTATCTTAAAACTCAAAGCTATATGAATATGTCCCTTTCCAAACAAGTGAGTACACCTGAAGTTCTAAATACCTTTCCAAAAATGTGAGTACACCTGAAGTTCTAATCATCTTTCCAAACATGTGAGTACACCTGAAGTTTTAATCATCTTTCCAAACATGTGAGTACACCTGAAGTTTTAATCATCTTTCCAAACATGTGAGTAAACCTGAAGTTCTAATCATCTTTCCAAACATGTGAGTACACCTAAGTTTTAATTACCTTTCCAAACATGCAAGTACAACTGAGTTTTTAATTACCTTTCCAAACATGTGAGTACACATGAAGTTTTAATTATCTTTCCAAACATGTGAGTTCATCTGAAGGTCTAATTATTGTTCCAAGCATGTGAGTACACCTAAATTTTAATTACCTTTCCAAACATAGTTTTAAACATGGTTCTGATTTGCTGTCTCTGTTCACCTGATCTGAAGGCTAAAACATCTATGATGGCTTTCTCATCAGTACCTGTAAATTAAATCACTTTATAAACAATCTTTCAACAGAATAAAACTTATCTCCCCTTGGTATAGTAACAGTGGTAATCTTAATAAATATTGTGGATGTTTTCCACTATTTAGAATAAATAAAGATCATACAAATATGCATATTATTTCCTTTAAGGTACAGTCCAACTAGCCTTTCTATGGCATTTCTGATTTTTATAATAGGATTGATGTCCTATTTTCTCCTTTTCATTAAGGGTACCTATAATTCTAAATAAGATCACAACTTAATTATCTGACCAAACATGATTCTATTTATAAATATTGATGACATTAAAGCTAACATGAATTTCTTTTTTTTTTTAGATTTTTGAGATTTCATGACCTCCTGTTTAAAAATATAAAGTGATTAAAATTCAGGTTGCAATTGCAATCAAGTTACCACATCTCCTTGTTTTTTAATCTAAAAGTAACTCACCAAAGCCCTTCATGGCTTTCCTCAGAATGTTGGCATCATTTTCTGCATTAAAGTTTTTGGAAGGCTTCAATGTTCCTTCAGTCTACAAAATATAAGTTATCATTATTTTATCATGTAACTTATCATTATTTACTAGATATAATTAAATGCAACTTATATTTTTGTATCTCGCCGTCTTCAGACATTATTTTCTTCAACCTCTATTATCCTTCACTGAACAGGGGCTTTTAAGTGAAATTGCATAAATTTCCCACTAGTTCATGTTTTTATTAATTATTATCTATTTCATAAATTACTAATACTTAAAACCACAATAAGAACATAAAGAATTATCAAATATTTTTTAAGGCTAGTATCAAACAAATCCGGGACACCTATGATCATATCAAACTTTTTTGGCTCTAAAAAAATAAGTGAATCCTGGAATTTCATGACCTAAACTAAAAACCTTTAAATAATGATTCAGATTGTAAGGTATGTATTCAATAAAAATTCTCATAAATCATACATTCATATAAATATACGGTAATTTTGTTTTGTTTGTTTGTTTTTTTTCGTTATTACTGTTTTCTAGAAAGCATTCTTGTAAACATATGATCAGTAGCCTTCTCACGGAAAACATGCCAAATATTGAGGAGTTCAATTGCTCAGTGTTTGCAGGGGAGGTTATTATTGCCACTAAATTTTCCACTGTATAACAATACTCTTGAAATAGTATACATTTGACAGGAAATAAACATCTTTAAAATGTTTGATATTTGATACTTTTTTTCTGAATCTATTTATAACTTGAGCTGACATCCTGGTAGTGTTACAGACTTAGCAATGTGAATTGAGTAAGTGTCCATCATTTCAGACATGTCCTCTAGATGTATGTTCGTCAACACATTTTGATTGGTTTCCATATAATAAACATCTTCAAATATCCTTTCATTCATATTTTATAACAAAGTAGTAAAACACCAAATCTGGTACCAAAACACTAAATTTGGTATCAAAATTAGCAAAGACACAAAATCTGTACCAAAAAACAATAAATCTCAGCAAGGATTTGTATAGTGAGATAAACAAATCTTGATCTCAGCAGGTACCAAAAGCAGCGAAAAACACTAAATTTAGTACCAAAAGTACCAAAACATCAAATCTGATACCAAAAGTAGCAAACTCACTAAATCTGTACCTAAAGAGGCAAAAACACTAAATCTGGTACCTAAATTAGCAAAATCACTAAATCTTGTATCAAAAACACTAGATCTATATAAAAAATAGCAACAAATGTAGCAAAAACACTAAATCTGATCCAGTTTCAGATATCACTTGAAGTTTAAATGATTGAAAAGACAAATGATGTCTTGAAACCTGTCTAATAGCAATATTTGAGTTCATAAGTTCAGATAGAATATATAAGTCAGTTCAAAATGACTATATTGTTAGGCCACACAACAAAAGTAAGTGTGTTTAGTGTTTCCTACATAAGAAAAAAAGGTAGGTTAGAATTAGGGGTGTAACATGTCTTCTTGACATTACATCCAGGATAATCTCAGCAAGAATCTTGAAACATGGCACAATGTCAACACAATAGTAGTAGATTGAGGAATTATGATAATTGTCCTATTAAAGGACAGATTCATGGGCGAAGAAGACAAGACTATAGAAGTGTTTTGTGAAATTGTTCAAAATGTTCAAACAGGAACACACCTATTTTCCATGTAATGATACATGTATGAAACTAAACCAGAGAAGTTAAAGAATATTATCAAAAACAGAATGTAAAATCAAGTTAAAATGGACCTTATTTGGACATAAACATTCATTGGAATAAATGAAGATTGATTGATAGATTGTTGTTTAAAGCCACTATGAGGACTATGTCAACAGTTTTATCCTTTAAATATTTTGCTTTCATTTTTATCCCTGAAAAAACATTTATTTTTAATCAGATTTTTTTTTTATATAAAAAATCAATGAAAACTGGAAAACTTTTTTTATATTGCTGTTATTAATGGAGCAGCATCTTTTATTACAATATACAATGTAACTTATATTTGAAACATCACAAAAATGACTGTACATGTAAAAGGAAACAGACAAAATGTCATGACAAGAAATTAGTACTTTGAGACAATAAGTAAGATTTTATCATAAAATCTCTGAAAATCATGAAAATAGGAAACAGGAAAATCTGTCCATATTGTAACTTTATTTTAAAGATAAAATGATGATTGTGTTTAAGGAAACTGATAAAATTTTGTGACCAAAAATTACTACTAAGATTTTTATCATGAAATCTCAAACGGAAAGAAACAGGTAAATTTGTCATGCTAATTAAGATTTAGATAAAGGTATAGATAGAACTTAAGATTAGTATAGCTCATTGTATAGCAACAAATTGTTCCAAAGCCCAAGAAGAAGCATGAAGAAAGGATTTTTTATACAAATAAGTTGATTTATTGAAACTGTAGATTACAGTTGGTAGATTCAGATACAAAAAAGGGTGGCATAATCTGGCAACTGTCTGATCATTAATGTATATATATGTGTATTTATATACAAATAAGAAGACATGGTATGAATGCTTATGAAAAAGATAATCACCAGAGTCCAAAATGACAAGTAACAAAATATCACCTGATTTGGACTTTCAATAATGAGCAAAACCCATACTGTATAATAGAAAAGAAAAATAGTCAACTATAAAAGGCCCCAATATGACAACATGAAACAACTAAACGAGAAAACTGATGCTTTTTGAAAAACAATAAACGAAAAACAAGTATGACAGACACCCTTCAAAGACATCCACTGAATAACAGGCTTCTCACTTGTGACAGACACATCAAGAATGTGGCAGGGTTTTTGATCATCAGTGTCTTATTGATAATCATACCATATCTCCTTAGTTTCATATAAATAGTACTTAATCAAAAGACATCAAATTACAAACAAGTGGATATAAACTCTGAGAATAATTACTCACAAGAGTACCCTGCATAACTTGCTCACAGGAGAAAAAAAACATACATTACAAAGATTTGAGTCATTACTCACAAGAGGACCCTGCATAACTTGCTCACAGGAGAAAAAAAACATACATTACAAAGATTTGAGTCATTACTCACAAGAGGACCCTGCTTAACTTACTCACAGGAGAAACAAACATACATTACAAAGATTTGAGTCATTACTCACAAGAGGACCCTGCTTAACTTACTCACAGGAGAAACAAACATACATTACAAAGATTTGAGTCATTACTCACAAGAGGACCCTGCTTAACTTACTCACAGGAGAAACAAACATACATTACAAAGATTTGAGTCATTACTCACAAGATTACCCTGCTTAACTTACTCACAGGAGAAACAAACATACATTACAAAGATTTGAGTCATTACTCACAAGAGGAACCTACATAACTTGCTCACAGGAGAAACAAACATACATTACAAAGATTTGAGTCATTACTCACAAGAGGACCCTGCTTAACTTACTCACAGGAGAAACAAACATACATTACAAAGATTTGAGTCATTACTCACAAGAGGACCCTGCTTAACTTAATGTTATTCAGGGTTATATCTGGTCTATATACCAGCTTTTATAAGTGTTTGGTATAACTATAAATTTTCACTTTGTACTATGAACATCAGAAATATTTATTTTGTAAAAATATTTCCTTTCTCTATTAGTACTGTACACGTATACCTAACAACAAAATTATTTTCATTTACCTGTGTTTAAAGTTATTGCAAATGGCTGATATTTTTGTTCGAGCATATTGTTTTTCTTTAATTGTTAAACATTTCTTACCGATATAACATGTTACTTTTATTATTCTTCCCTTAGTTTATTTATTTTGTATTTACATTGTGTCATAGGCCAAATTTATTTGTTCAGTGTATGTTCAATGGTGTTAATATGTCCTTTGAATGAGTTAAGCTATTTCAGTTGATATTTTATAGTGTGTCTTTCTATGTTGTGATGTTACACTATTGTTTCAGGAAAAAGGGTGAAGGTTTGGTACCATTAAAACGTTTAAACCCGCTGCATTTGTTTGCACCTGTCCTAAGTCAGGAATCTGATGTTCAGTAGTTGTCGTTTGATGATGTGGTTCATAAGTGTTTCTCGTTTCTCGTATAGATTAGACCGTTGGTTTTCCCGTTTGAATGGTTTTACACTAGTAAAATTTGGGGCCCTTTATAGCTTACTGTTCGATGTGAGCCAAGGCTCCGTGTTGCAGACCGTACTGTGACCTATAATGGTTTACTTTTATAAATTTTGACTTGGATGGAGAGTTGTCTCATTGGCACTCATACCACATCTTCTTATATCTATATACATTACAAAGATTTGAGTCATAATTCATACATACATATAAATATAAGGTTATTTTGTTTTGTTTGTTTGTTTGTTTTTTCATCATTACTATTTTCTAGAAAGTTTTCTTGTAAACATATCTCACGGAAAACATGCCAAACATTTTGGAGTTCAATTAATTGCTCAGTGTTGGCAAGAGAGGTAATTTATTGCCACTTAATTTTCCACTGTATAACAATACTCTTGAAATAGTATACATTTGACAGGAAATAAACATCTTTAAAATGTTTGATATTTGATACTTTTTTTCTGAATCTATTTATAACTTGAGCTGACATCCTGGTAGTGTTACAGACTTAGCAATGTGAATTGAGTAAGTGTCCATCATTTCAGACATGTCCTCTAGATGTATGTTCATCAACACATTTTGATAGGTTTCCATATAATAAACATCTTCAAATATACTTTCATTCATATTTTATACCAAAGTAGCAAAACACCAAATCTGGTACCAAAACACTAAATATGGTATCAAAAGTAGCAAAGACAATAAATCTGTACCAAAAGTAGCAAAGACAATAAATCTGTACCAAAAGTAGCAAAAAACAATAATTCTCAGCATGTATCAAAAGCAGTGAAAAACACTAAATTAAGTAACCAAAAGTAACAAAACATCAAATCTGATACCAAAAGTAGCAAACTCACTAAATCTGTACCTTAAGAGACAAAAACACTAAATCTGCTACCTAAATAAGCAAAATCACT